ACCCACCACCTATGGAACTAGAAGCATGTTTGAGGCATCAGAGTCTTCTGTTACTCCATAGTATCATATGTCCATTCTGCAGCCATGCTTTACCTCCGTACATGAACAGTCTTATTATTCTAAAATCATTAGTCAAGGAAAAATTGTTGAAAATGAAAGTGACACCCTGATGTTCTAATTATCTTGCTTTTGTATGTTCTTTTCAGTTGTTTTGCGTTTCTGCCTGATTTGGTTATATTTGAAATATTTCAATATCTTAAACCAGCTGAAATTTTACAGTCATTTTTCGATTTATATGATTCATGGTTGCCGAAATTAATCGATGAAAAAGTTTGTTTGAAATCGGTTGATTATTTATCAAATATTCCATCTGAATTATTCATATATATTTGTGCTAAGATTATCCCTAAAATTGGTTCGACTATTTTATTCATGACTATTAATGAAGAAAAAACTTACGGTCAATTAAAACTAATAAACGATCAACAACTATTTCGTTTGCTACCGTCTCTAACAACATTAAAATTATTCCATATAATTAATTTAAGTGATTTAGAAATATGTTTTGAATTATGTTTGAAATATTTGTCACTGCTGATCGATTTAACAGTTGGACTTTATACGAATAGATTTGTATTAAAGAGTAGTGTTTCGGATACCATTCACAAATATATATTTAATGGATCTTTATTGCTAGAAGTTTTCAAGCTCGTTTCACCGAATAGCTGCAGATTACAGTTGCCGAATGTAAAACAAAACAATTTACGATGCTTAACAATTTCTCTTGAACGATTTAGTGATATATTTATATTATTTGATAATCTGCCAGTCATAGAATATTTAAGTATTGAGCTTAGTGAAAATTATATTTTTGACGAAAGCGATGTACATGACTATGATCATAATTTAACTGAGAAATTACCATGTTTAAAACATTTTACATTTATTTCAACTGTTCCACATTTACCGTATAAATTATTCGAAATGATTATTCAAGATATGATTCATTTACAACAGTTATCATTTAAATATGTGGCATCTGGTAGTGGACAAGATATTAGTGGTATTAGGTTAAAAAAGACATTGTCAAAATTAATAAATTTAACTCGATTAGATTTTCTTTTAATTATTGCCTATAGAGATAATCATAATATTAATGATAGACATGATTTCTTATCT